TTTTTTATTTAAACAGTGAAGTCTACATAAAATACAATTCCTTAAAAGACACTCATTGTATTTTAAAAAGGAAAATAACCTAAAGATATCATAATAATATGAAGTAACAACTGCTATGGCATTCAGAACACAGAGGTTGTTAGTTTTCTTTCTAAAAACAGGGCCTTTTACTACATTAAAATAGCATAACAGAGCTCTACAACAATGTCGAGAGGAAATAAGCATGTTTCTTCACATTTTTGTGTGTTAGGGTCCTGACTTCAGTTCAGGAGACGGGGATTGGTGCGAGGAAGATAATGAGGTGGATATGAAAAAGGACGGGGCAATTGTGGAGGAAGCAAAAGTACAAATGTTGAATAGTCATATAAACTTTGAAAGAGATTTTTGTGATCTTGATAAAATATATAGGCAATAGGCAATACTACGTAAATGGCTAGTCTCTAATCGCATACATAAAATGAAACCAAGTAGAAAGGCCCTGTCCATCTCAGCTACTGTATTCAGGATGGTGGGACGACATGGTGGCTTCCACAGAGCTGTGCCCGCTCCTATGTATATTTTATTGGATTATTTCAATAATGTATTAAAAAGGTTTCAAGGAGTCATCAATTTGGTGGAAGATATAATTACACACTAATCAATTAAATAACCTCAAAAAATTACCTAATGTTCCTTTAACTAAATGAAGAAAAACTTTTTTTTCTTACCCTTTCTCCACAGAAACTGGTCATTAGATACAGAAGCCAAGCCATTGTCTAACAGAACTGATGCTGAGTCAGGTCCACCACCATAGGAACAACCCAGATCATATGAGTTCATAGTAGAGAATACCTGACAATTGAGAAGAAAAGCTTAGACTTACTACTATGATTACCTATAAATTACAAAAAATACCATAAGTATGAAAGTAGTGTGTAAGACTGTAACCTGTTTGGGTGTGAGTTTATTGTCAGCATTGAGAGCGTAGAAGGCCTTATCCACAGCCAGCAAAGCCACTGTTGCGCTGTTCCCATGTAGATCAAAGTCTATCTTTAAATGTGTGTTAGGTGCAAGGGTACCTTTGGGTTGAACCTAAATTAAGACATTTAAGATATACCAGGATTTATTTTTTTTGTTTAGTGAAGGAAAATTCAAATAATACAAATAGACTTCTCAAACCAAAATTAAATAAATATATCAATATAAATACATGTAGATGTAGGCAATTTAAAAATCCAAATTATTTAAATATATGCAATGTTTGTACACCTCCATTAGTTAAATGTTAGTAAAAATTAGTTAAAGCGCACACATTTGAAATAGTTTTGCTTTCTCTGCTCGTGCTGCACTTTTTTATCTGTTCTGTTTACTTACCTTGACATTTAGCTCACATTCATCCCTGACATCTACCCACACTGAATCAGCTATGACGTGACCGTTAGTGTTGTGATAGTAGCCAATCACACGGAAAGATGGAACCATATTATGTGTTATCTGCAGTCGGTGTTTAGCTGATATACCAAGTAGGAGTGAGCCGGTGTTTACTACAATTCCCCGGCTTAAGACCTGAAACAAAGACAATTAAAACGTGTTTAATCAAGACAAAATGCTGCTCCTTTATGAGAATACACAATATTGCATTTAGTCAGATATTTCTGACCATGTAGTGTATATATCCACTGCGTGGGCTGTTGATGGTGTTGAATGTTATGGTAAGGAATTCATTCACAGAGTAGATCCTGCTGGTAAAAGTCATGTAAAGGTAGCTGTCATGTTGAGAGGAAGCACGTCGTATTATTTTTCTCTCTCGTAATCCATTTGTAGAAACCTGTTGGAGGCAGATGAACAAACAGTTAAAACTGGAATCAAATCTGTTAAACAACACCTTTGAATAAGGTTGGGGATACTAACTTCAACTGTAATATCAGCTTTATCATGAACATTAAAAGTATTGAACAGTGCCCCGTCTTGATCAGTGGTGCTTTCCCAAGGCCGTGATGTTGGTAGATTAATATTTACTGGCACACCAGCTGCTGGAGAGCCATCTGGCAGACGCACGAGCACCTATATGAAAAACAAAGAAAAGTGTTATATTAAAGATCATTACAGTAATTGGTGTAACTATTCCCATGTGTTAGTTTCAGACATACCACCACGTCCAGTGGATATCCAGGAATAAAATGAGATCGAGTTCGAGAGAGGTCTATCGTGTATTTGTGGGCGAAGATTCGCAGGTAAACTTCTGCCTCTTGTATTTCACCACCTAGGCCAAAAAATGTACACAGTATTATCAAGAAAAATAAAAGGTCGCATTAATATTTCTCCATGTCTTAATGAGTTTATCAATAGATTTATTATATTGGAACTTTTACTTATTAAATGCAATAATTAAATGTAGCTCCAGAAATTCTGTATTATGCACTGCTATATGAAACCACATTGTTTACAACAATTAAATACTCTCTAATATCTATGATTTCAAATAAAATAACCAAAAACAAACTCAGATATATTGATGAATGTAAATGTCTCCTTTACTTTGTATGTTTGTGACAAACACTCTCAAAAACAATCGATCTCCATTTTCCTGCATCTTAGAGAGGGTTGTTTTCAGCTGCCTCTGAAGTTTTGCATTTGTCTCATTAAACAAAAGAGAAACCTTTGCATTTCCATCTTTGACCTGCAAGAAACAGAGAAGTTTTGATAAAATGAAACAATAATGGCATGCAGTTTGTTACTCATTTTAAAATTAGCTGCATTGTGAATTTTGGATGGATTTCCTCACCGAACCGGTCTGCTCCAGTCCCTTGATAAAAGTCATTTCCTGACCGCCAGAGCCATCTTTTTTTACAAATCCAAACTGGCAGTGATAAGCACCTTTAACTTTTTCACCATGTGTGTACCTAAAGAAAACAACTGTTAACTGGAGCAAAGATAGTCTAAAAATGCAATAGTATATTTATACTTGAGACAGTCAATCCAAGCATTAAACGGTCTGACTCAAGCAGTGAATATTTTTTGTTGCTGAATCCAAGTTAATAAAAAGTTTTATTATTTTCACTGCATAGGAAATAATTATGGAAGAGAAGATGCCCAATCTCAAACTCCAGGTTTTCACCTGGTAAGTGATCAGAGGCTGCAAGGACCATCATGTGTCATAATGAGTCATTGTGTGACATTAATTTCATTTTTCAAATCATGCTACAGTAGACTTGCAGATTCCCTTACGTTTTTTGCATTTTTCATTGCATGAGTGTGCTTATTTGAATACTGGCAGCCCTTGGTCAGGTAATGACTTGGTTAAACAGTTAAACTGTTCTATATGTTAAAAGTCATCCTGCTGATAAGATGTTGACAAAATCACCCCAATGCCAAAGCCTTAGCTTATAACATTTCTTGACATGAATTTGCAAAGAAAGAGTTAGTTTAATGGAAGTAAAATTAGCACTTACATTGCTGAGATGGTGAATTGAAGATCTTTGTTGGTCAGCAAAATATATTTCGGATCCATTACGATGTTCACATCAAAGCTTGGTAAAACTACAGTTAGTAAATAAGTTATGAGAGTCAAAAGATACTTTCTGTGAATTTAAAAAAAAAGATCTCAATTGCACGAATCAGTTTATAGTAAACTTACTAAATTTCTGAACTTTGAACTCTCTGAAGGCAGCATTTGCTTCATCACCCTCATAGTGTGCAGTAATCTTCCAAGTACCCGTTCTTTACGAACAACAAAGTACAGTAAGTGTCAAAATTCCTTGACATCTTCACTTTCATTGGAAATTTGTAACCTACTCAGAAACGTCAGGTATGAGGAATGAGTCTTGATGTACTCCTCCCTTTGCAATCTTCATGATTTTCATTATTCTATTTCCAGCAGCATTCTGTCATACAGTGACCAAACACAGACCAAGACAAGAAAGAGTGAATATGTTTCTGTCTTTCAAACTTGTATTACCAAAGACATTTATAAAGAAAATATATAATATTAATAATTATAACTCACAATTACTGATATGTGGACAGGTTCCTCATGAGGCCTCATCGTGTGGTCAAGAGTGAAGATTCTGTACTTCACTAAAAGAACGATAACATAAAAGGAATATAAAATGTCTTTTTCACAAAAAAATCACTGTTAGGTAAAGTCTGTAGAATTATTTAATTTTCTTTTACTTTGTTTCTACCTCTGTCTGCTGGGTTATAAATTGGCTGAGCTGTCTGAATGAAGATGTAGCCCCTGTGTTTTGACACCAGAACCCTTGTTAGCTTCGTGTTGGGTGTGAAGGATTGGCTCTCTGCCACGAGCATAACGTAAGAAGGAAATTGAGGCAATCCTAACAAAGAATCCATGTTTAGCTGTAAAGATGTAAATTATAAAGTTAGGGCAAAGTGGGTAGTAACATCTCAGTCCTGTCTTTTATTGTTTGCTTTTTGTTTGAGTGTGAAGTCTGCATACCTTGAGCTCAGCTATTTCAATCTTGTCTTCTTTAGTGCACGTAACCGTTTTCATCTCAGACACAACAGTACTAGAGATCTCATCCTTCAGGTAGAGCTTAACAGGTTTGTTAAGGTGACCCGGTCCCATCTGGACAAACACTTTCTCATTAACGCCCACGTGAAAGACTTTCGGGCCTGAGATGAAGAATCTGCACACAAAAATGAAAGATAGTGAACATTGCATCTTTTAATAATCTGTTTCACATAATCTGATTTTTAGATAACTATGCAATCTGCAGTGCTGCATATTTGAGCGTATCTTACATTAAGTCAAGTTGATTATTAGGAAATAAATATGGGAATACCAACATATGATTTTATTTTTCATTTGTAAGCTTATGAAATTGTTTGAAGACAAAAACTTTAGTTAATTCTATATATATTTATAAATATCAGTTAAAATGAGTAGACATCAGCCATTAAAGCATTACACTTCATTCTTCCTAAATTTACCTGTTTTGTGCTGAACACTCCGCGATCCATATCAGCAGCAGTATCACAAAAATGTGGCACTTCATCGCGCCGCTTTGATTACTTTGCCTGCTTTGACACAGACTTTAGATTAACTGCTGTTTTGTAAGTCACTCACCCCTGTTTCACAATATCTGGATCTCATTAATGCCCTCCCTCTGTTTTTTTCTGCTGCAGATGAACAGACTTATAAAACTTAAAACCAATTACAAAACTTTAAAAAATGCATGCATAAACACTCAAGGCATAATATGATAACAGTTTAATACTGCTAGATATAGCATGTTGCTCGATGCATGCTGTTGTTTAACACACAATGTGTTTTTTTTGTCAATTATTTAAATTATTAAATCTATTTTTTTTTTTTTTTACTTTGCACATTAGGTTTCAATAGACCACCAGACCAACATTTCTGACAACAAGCTGTTTGGTTTTATTAAAATCCGTTTTACATTGCTACTTGGCTTGCAGCCTGGAAAGTGTTCCTGTTTCACAATGTGTAACCATCTCCTCATTGGTCAGTTGAAGCCAGATTTCCCTTAAGTCATGTGGTTTACAAGAAATCATGTTTGTTTTTTCTGTTTTCATCCCCCCCCCCTCCTAGCTACCTTTGAAACTAAATGGCTTACAAATTATTTGAAGAATACAGATTAATTGTTCTCTTTTTCTTTAGCAGTCATAGAGTATTTGTCATCTCTTTTTAATGGTTAGAAAAGCTGTTTATTCCACACTTGCTGGACATGGTGTCATGGTCCTGGGTCGAGCGACCCAGTGTTTGAGTTTTATGTATCTTTTGTATTCATTTGTGCCCTAGTTTAGTTCATCTAGTTTATTTTGAGGTTGCTGTTTACTCCTTTGTTTCTTAGTTGTTTATGTCATCTCCTCCTGTACTCAGTCTCCCTGGTTCGTGTGTCTACCTGTCATGCGTCATGTCTGTGTGGTTATGTTCAGTTCAGATCACGTCTAATCTCCATGTTTCCTGTTTTACTTTGAAAGTCTGTGTCTAATGTCAGTGTATGTAGTTTCACTTTTCCTGTCCTGTCATTAGGTTCATGTGTATCAGCTGTTCCCCTTCATGTGTTTCCACTTCCCTTGATCATCCCTTATGTGTATTTAGTCTCTGTGTTTTATTCAGTCTGTGTCGTGTCCTCCATGTCCTCACAACCAGTCTTTGTCATGGTTTTCTGAGTCTTCATAGAGAAGAATCATAAGTTACTCCGGTCTACTCTCTTGTGTTCGCACCTGGGTCCACCACACGCACCACCGCATGGTCTGTCTCCTCAGATCGTGACACATGGTCCTTATGTGTGTATTAATTAGTGAATTGAATAATAAGGTAAATAAATATAGCAAGGCACTTCATGATATTCAAAATTAAACATCATTATGGTAATTAGATTGTTTTAAACTATAAATATAAATCTTTTTTCCAGTTGCTTCTGTTTCCTGCTACTTTGTGTGTGTATTACTGCTCCTTTGGACTAGTACTGTAATACACATGCAATGTCATTTGCTCAATATTAGACGATTTAAATGAAACACAGAACATTGTTTTGCATATAAATAAATGGTTAAAGGTTACAGGTTAAATCACAACGTGACTGAGTCATAAGCTTATACTATTTTGATTCATGGGTAGCTAGTGTTGAGAAAGATGGCATTACCTCTCTTTACATCTGAGAGAGGGTAAAAGGACTTAACATCCAGCCTTTTATGTTAAAAGTGTTACAGGGTGCTAAAACAGAGTTTATCTGTATGTGATTTTGCTAATAGTTAATAGGGTCTCTGTTTAAAAAGTCTTAATCTCTAATGCTATGATTATCACCCAGTAGGCAGACTGAGGTCAGATGGAGGCAGGAAGGATACACGCCCAGCTCTAACTGCCCTCCTGATGTTGATCCTGCTCCCTCTGATTGCGTGCTTGTCAGTGTAGCAGCAGCTCTCCTCTAAATCTGTGCGCTTGGTAACTAACTAATGAAAATTAGTGGCCTTTAATAGACCTCAAGAATCTGTTCATTTTTAATGGTAGAGTAACCTGTGATAAAACATAGGTTTTTACCTTTGCTGTTTCACAAAAGGTTAAAAAGGGAATGTCCAGAATTTAGACTTTTTGAATGCAGGATATTTTATTAAAGCAGTTTAGAAGGAGCAAAGGAAAAGCCAAATCACTAGATACATGCAGAACATACATGTGCAACTATGTGATGTGGCAGTAGAATAAGCCAAAAAGTAAAAGCAACAACAGAAACTCTTAACATCCATGCTAACTGTGTATCTGATGGGAAATTCATTTAACTGACTTGCATGAAAATGAAAATGAGAGCAGGTTGCTTCACTGTCTGCAGCCATCCACCTTGTACTCATCTACAAACTCATCAAACTCCTTGCAAACATATTTATTGACACTTTTACTACATTCTACAGAAGGCTTCTTTTCAACCCACGTGTTTGATTCCAGCAGATACTGCATCCTATAAAAAGAAAAAATGGTTGACCAGAGAATCATTTTATGAAAACACACTTTCCTTAATATCACTGACATACTCACATTCCACTTGAATCTTTTGTCGTGCCATCTTTGCCCATGATGAGATACTGTTTTTCCAAGTGTAATTTTCCTTTGCAGTGAACCCTCTTAGCAAACACTCGGACTGAGTTCTCACTCACTGACGCATCGTTATCTAGCAGAAGGATTAGACTCAATAAATTATATTCATTATAATCATAATATTTAAAGAAAGCTTTTTAATAAACATAATGAAACATACAATATAAGAGTCAGTTTTACAGCATCTTATAAGGCTTGTAGTTAGTTCACTTACTTGATCTGAGAACGTCAATTACAGAAGTAGTGTACAGCTCAAAGTTACTCTTCACAGAAATGCTGGTGACCTCAACAATGTACGCTGGAAAACAAAAAAAAAGGCTTAATATGATTAATATTTAAAAATCATGATAGCAAGCAGTTATTATGTGATGCAAATAAATGTTTTGTTTAGAATACACACCATAATCTACGATAGGGAAGAAGCAAGCATGTTGGACACGGTTAATCTTCCTAATTCTTCTTCTTCGATTGAATGTATCTTGTAGTTTATGACAAGGTCCTATAAAAACATGAATGAACATGAGTGAGTTTTCAATTATACATCAACCTAATAAGGCACTGGAATGCTTTTATTCACAAATACTTGTCAGAATGTGTACATATTAAGCTAATTGCTTTCAAACACTATCTAATATTCATTGGTAGATGTCATTCATTCCTTGTTTGCATGATAATCGATTACACAGCAGGGTGATTTTACAGTCATATGATGCATTTTGGGTTTAAATCAATATTTCTCATTCATAGACAACAGTAACATTCACGGACGGTTGATATATATTACTGCATATACTATATTACCAGTATAGTAAGTATTCATTTACCCATCCAAATCATTAAATTCAGGTGTTCTTCCATGGTCACAGGTATCTAAAATCAAGTACCTAAGCATGCTTCTGCAAACATTTGTGAACAAATGGTTCGCTCTCAGGAGCTCAGTGAATTCCAGCGTGGTACCATGATAGGATGCACCTGCCCTTGCAGCTAAATATTCCAGAGTCAAGTGTTGGTATTATAATTAAGTGGAAGCGATGGGAAACAACAGCAATTCAGCCACAAAGTGGTAGGGCAGTCAAATCACAGTGTGGGGTTGGCAGATTTTGAGGCACGAGCGCACAGAGGTCGCCAGATTTCTGCAGAGTCAGTACCTACAAACTTCATGTGGCCTTCAGGTTGGCATTTCTCAAGCTTCTCGTGCTCTTCCTCCCTGATGTAGCTATCACTTGGTATAGCTAGATCTAATGCTGCAGCCATCTTCCTCTGCTTCTCCACTACTACTTTGTCTGGCTGCTTAGCCATCACCAGTTTGTTAGTCTGATAGGATCTTAGCTTGGTTATCACATTTTGACCTCAGGTCTTACTCAGCACAAATGTTCCAGTACAGACACTTTGGTTATGATAATCCTGTTCAGAGAGGTGGCTGCGGGCTGCTTTTAGACCCACTAACCACTAAGCATCGTTGTTATGTGTTGCATCCTTCTCCCATATGTTTTTCTAGTTTTCCTTCATTTCCAGGCTGAGTGGGGCTGTTCTCATATTGTTCCCCTGCCACCTAGAGTACTCCTTGAATGGTTCAGTGGAGTATAGCTAGTTTATTCTCCTGCTTTCTATCTCTGTATTCTACCTCATCAAGGGGTGAGCCAAGGCTGGGATCCTTTTTTTGGCAGGCCTCGGATTACTTCTTAGATCCTTTGTCAGTTAACACTGTTCTGCAGTTGGCTAACTGACCTTTATCTTGACCTCTAGTCTCCTTATCCATACAGGGTACTGCTCCTTGTGGCCCTTTATCTTGTAGCCAAGTATCTGAAGGATAACTGTTGCTGTGATATAGATCACCTGGTTGATTTCAGTGATGGTCGCAGTAGGGATACTCTGTAACTCTGGATTAAATCTTATGGTAGATGTTCAGAGTTTTGGTATTCATTCATGGAGGGTCCAGCTTAGCCGGGATCTTCTCTTTCAGGTCAGTTGCTCTGGCTTTTAATGTACCTGTTTTTTCTTGATACCTGATCTCAGTGTGTGGGGATGATGATATCTCCCTCCTAACCTGATATCCTGATTCTCCCTTGCTATAGCATTTGTGTTGTATCTCATCAATCTCTAGTTGCAATAGCAGTTGCTTCTTGAAAATGTTGGAACACTGAGCTACCAGTGTTTTGAATGTTAGTCTAGATGAAGAATTCATCGGTCCCACATCCTCTTTCACTAGGGTTACATGTATAGTAGCGTTACAGCAGTTCTCTATTATCATCCCTTATCAACTTATGCTTTGTCCTAGTAGCCTAATTCTCATCAGTATACCCTGGTACCTCAACACCTGACGCACACCTTGTTAATCCTGGAGACATCCGAGCCACTATGGCTTTATTTATGTCTCGCTCATCTGATGTGGGTGTATTTAGGTGCACCCTTAATGAGCCCTGTGAAAAATTTCTTTCTTACATTAAATGAAAAAGGAGTTTCAACAGAGTCTGTGCAGCCCAATCACAA